ATCCACAAGCGCCAAGTTAAAAACACAGGCTTCCGGAATTTTTTATAGAAAGGGCAGAATGGATATTGTGCGAAAATGGTTCAGTTGTGTAGGATTAAGGACTTTAGGGAGAGGAAGATCCACCTATTTTCAAGCGACTTTTAAGAAAACACTTTATGCCTCCTTAATGATTTTGTTCCATTCCTCGATGTTGTCAACTTATATCTAAACATTTATACATTATTTTTAACGTATATATTTATATATGATGTTTGTATGTGTATTTATGTATAATTTATCACTATGTATTTATATTTTACCTTATTAGTTCCTGTTATCAATTCTGTGTACACCGTTACCTGATGCTACTGTTTTTACTATGTCCTTTTACTAGGTTGCTTGGAAGAAATCGCTTTTTAGCGATAAGGCAGTTTTGTATTGTACAGTTTTGTTGATTATTCAACATTCGTTTTTTGTGTACAATAAAGTATATTTCATTCATTCATTCATTCAAGATCATTTCTTCCAGATATCTGGATATTGATCAGCATCGAGGGAATCTTTTTCCTTTCCAGTAATGTCTGGATGGTCGCGGCCAACTGCGGCCTCGACCTTCGTGGGTCGTATTAAAATAAAGTCTCGCCAAGAGACATTTTGCAACTTATAAACAATTTTAATAGGCAAAAGTCGATAATATCATATTTATCATTATAACAAACAGACTTCTTACTGAGTAGAAACGTGTGTCCTCTGTCAATCGTTCACTTGATCAGTGAGGTATGTAATAAAGGGAAATGAACCATATTAAAAGATTTAAAGATATGTTTTGGAATGAAGTGAACTGCGAATATATTAACTCCTCGACAGAGATGTATGTATATATGTTTTCTGTCATTCACTCGCGAGCTCTACAAGCTGTATTTTACAAAGTATAAATATATTGAATAACCACTATTCTCGCCTTGATGTGCCATCTATTTGCCTCGTTATGCAGGGTCGTCCATTTCTAGATCTTTTATTTTGTTTTATAAAATACCAATTAATCAATTACCATAGTGCAGCGTATTAGCTCTATAAAAAAAAAGTTTTTTTTTTTTACTTCAAGCCAAATTTCAGAGAAAACAGTTATTAAAGTTCTTGTGTTCATTTCTAATGTTCATTGTAATATGTTGACTATGAACCGTGTCCCAGTCGGTGTATTTATTCACCGATTCAAATTTTAGTTAGTGCATATAACTTCTTTAATGTTAACTATTGAATAAAGAACACCTTGAATTAAATGCTTTGTAACGCTCGCACAAGGTTTTCACGCAAAATATGCTTGTTTGCACTTTAATCTATTCCTATTTACCTCATTTGCCAAGAACATATAATTCACTCGTATATATTTTAATAGGCTGGTAAAACATCCGGTAATACGTAGTATTTATTAATTTTGCGTTCTAATTCCTAAGAAACAACACTGATGAATTTTTGGTTTTAAGCGATCGTGGTGTAGGAGTGTTCGCACGTCTCTGCTCCTGTAACGAATGTCAATTAAAAATTAATACCTGTTATTTTATACTGTCTGTGACAAATAGTATGTATAACTCTTACGCCCGGTTTCTGAAACACTGATCGTCGTAGATGTCAACTAATCAGTTGTCAATTCAAATTTCATTTTAGTTGCCAAAAGTATGGTAAAACTCTCTAAATTGACCAGAATGAACTTCTTAATGATCATAATGATCAATTCAAATAGTTTAACCATCCTTTTTGCATCTCAAATGAAATTTGAAAACCATTTTACAGTTGGTTAGTTGACATCTAGTTTCTATCAGTGTTTCAGAAACCGGGCGTTACTCTATAGTAACAGGTGTTTTCGTTAGTTGTCGATTTATTTACTTGTTTATTTTTTAATATGGTATAAAATATGTTGACAATCATCTAATACAGTTCCATCATATCCATTTCTGGTATGCAAACGCTTAGACATACAAACATTAAGTTTACATCCTATACTTATCTTTAATATTATTTTTTAGTTAATTTTGTCACAATTTTCTTTAAACATGATGTTAAAATATATATATACAATGTCCTTCTTATTACCTACGTCATTAGAAACCATGTCAAAAATTAATAATTTGTGGGTCAAGTTACATAAAATTAGACCCAATCAGATTAAATTTTATTGTTTAGAACTGTATTCTAAATATTCTTGCATTGAAGAAAAGAATGTGATTTAGCCACTCATACAATCTCTTTTTAAAGATCGTAAATGGTAAGTTAAGTATTTCCCTGGCAATTTATTGTACACTTTTACAGCCATTATATAGCAATTATTGGCAATAAATTTTTTCTTTGTTTTTGGAATTATCAGCCACTCTCCGAATCGGCTACCGTACATTGCAATTTTATTATGCTTAACAAAATGATACCTGTAATTTTTTACAAAAAAGCTTAAGTCATGTATATACATACAGTTAGAGTTAATATCCCTAGTTTAGTGTTCTACAGCTTTCTAATGGCCCAACATTACAAATTGCACATACACACTTTTTCTGCACTAAAAATACTTTATTTATTTTTATAGCATTTGTCCAAATTATCAGACCGTATCGTAGAACTGATGATATGTATCCATGCTAAGCAGTTAATGTGGCTTTTTGTGAAATATATTTTGACAGTTTTCGGAGTGGAAATATGAATTTATTTATCTTCTCGCAAACACATTATATGCTTTTGCCATGTACATTTGTGGTCCAAATTTAATCCAAGGAATATAATTTCATTAACCTCTTCTATATTTTGTCTATTGTAGCTAATTTTTAGATCTTCCTTTTTACCAATAATGCCGAATTGAATTTGTTTGGTTTTATGAATGTTAACAGAAATGTTATTTTGTTTCAACTAGTGCATTACTGCTTCTACAGATTTAGAGATATTGTTATTGTACATCCTTTTGTTATTACATTTGAGGATTACTGAAATATCGTTCGCAAATAAAGTGTTTATATCCGATCGCTGTAACAGGACAAGATACTATTACTGCTGCATGTCCATACTCTGTAAAAGCTAGACTCAAAGAAGAAAAAGAAAGAACTTATGACAGTGATAGAATGTTCAGTTATAACTGTGACTCGATGTACACTTTTTATCCCTTTCTATCTAAGGTCTAGACATGAATAGAGAAAAGCTTGTGATAACGTGTTAAGGCACTTTTAATTTACATGGAAAAAGAACTGTTATTTAAGTTTGTTCGTAACAGTTGCAGCCTTGCTGTCGCCTGTTATATTAACATATTACGATAAATATACCTAACTGCTATCATGGTGTGCATAAATTAACCTGAAGTCCGTGCTATAAAAAAAATAATTATAATATTTTTTTGTTAATTTTCCGAGTTTTGAAATGAATTGTTTCCTTAGTTGACATATTTTATTTTATATATAAATTGTATTATTACACAAACACAAATTTCATACATATTCGATCCTGAACCCTAAAATGGAGAAATATAAAATATGCTTTGATATACGATGTACAAAAGTGAATAAAATTAACAATTTGCATGCGAGTTGTATGAATGTTTCAAGGGTCACGCCTATCAGGTCGCATGGAAAAACTGGTTGATCCAAATAAGCGATACTTACCTAAAGATATCCACAAGATATCTATAAGTATCTTCGAGTAATGGGCCTTGCACACTTACGCGTAGATGCATAATGAGGAAGCGACCAGAGAAGTATGTCTGGATTGAGGAAAATGAAATTGAAATGCAATGTATTTCCGTTGAACAAGGTAGGTTTTAATATAATAGATATATGATGATGGTAGTGTCGAGCATGTGACGAAAACTTTATGATGATTTTTTATTAATTTATGATAATGCATATTTTCGTTACACACTTATCAATATTTGAGATTTATCCATCAATTCCTTAGTCAGTATGAACGAGATCAAAAAGTTCAAGCTATAAAAAGCCTGTATAAGGTTTAGAGTTTAAGAACAATACAGACAAATGCACATTCTATAACGTTCAATATAAATTAAACACTTCAATGTGCTTACGCGCTTACAGTACGTCTACGGATACAATAAACATAAATAACTTGGTTAAGAAAATTTTATTATAAAAACTTTAAAAACCTACTACGCATATAAACACGGCAGTCCATAAAACCTACTTCAGGAGTCAGGAAATCATTGTTTCCGTTTCATAAATAAATAGGCATACACTTTTATCAGTGTCATTCGTGAAAAGTATTAACAGGCAAAACTCTCCTATTCATATCATGCAATTGTTTTATAGCCCATATTATTATAAATACCATAGATATTTTTTTGATTCATTCCAGCGATCTCCAACTTTGCATTTGATTAACTGAGGCTTTCTAATAATTTCTATTATTTTTGATAATGTTCTTTTTATAAGAGTAATGTTATTTGCCCTATACTTCCTTTAAATACATTAAGTAATCTGTTTATTTTAGTATTTTTTCTGTAAATTTTAGGTCCGCATTTCTACCTTACACTTTTATTTTAATAAATAGGATAAGTAATGAATGATAATATTGATAACAATATAGGTACATGTTATGATTCTATTAGTCTTTTTTATGAAAATATCATATTGTCACGTTATATTATAACTTACTAGGTGCTGCCCGCGACTACGTCTGTGTAGAATAGGCTGAAGGCGTAACATTCAGACAGAAAAACATATATACATAAAATATGTATACAAAAATTATAGCCAATGTCTTATTCTGATGTACAAGCTATATTATTGTAAAGTTTCATTAAAATCTATTCAGTAGTTTTTGCGTGCAAGAGTAACAAACATCAACATGAATATACATACAAACTTTTGCGTTTATAATATTAGTAAGGATTGTCTCCTGCTTTTTTTTGCCGTAAGCAACTTTATTAAATAAATACTTTTACGGTTGTTAATTTTAATTTGTACATTTACTCCGAGATTTATGGCTTTGATTTATTTATCCATCACGTGCTACTATTTATCTATCCCTTTCAGGCCCGCTGGTTCCATACAAATAACAGAAAACTCATTCATTAAAAAACTGCAATCTTCTGGAAGGAGTCTTGTAGTATTCTATGGGTCCCAAACGGGAACTGGAGAGGAATTTGCTGGCCGCCTTGCTAAGGAAGGCATTCGGTACAAAATGAAGGGAATGGTTGCCGATCCCGAAGAATGTGATATGGTTTGTATTTGATTCAGTTATTTTATTTTTCGTAACAATTTATGGATAAAAAACTGAACAGATGCAAGTCGAAGTTGCAGATAGAGGATTCCGTACAATTTTTTTCAATAAAGTAAATAGTTCGTCAATCGCGGAAATCGAGTCTCTAAGATTTTTCCCACTTTTTCTAAGTCGCCTCCGTGGTTGTCCTTGACCCGCCTTGACCAGTGTCTCGAGCGGCGTCCTCTGTCGCGTCATCTGTGGGTTCAATAAAAGCAAACCATCTGATAACTAAAAAGAAGAAGACTGCGCTACCGCCCCGCATTCTGTAGCAAAATATTTCATATTCACCCAGCAGAAATAACTACAACTTATATAAATAAATTATATTTTAATGACTAATGGCGTAAATTAATCAGCAAAGTTAATATTCCTTTAATAACATATTGTATTAAGGCGCTGTATGCAGTGAATTTTTAACTATTTGGGTGGTGAAGTATGAGGTAGCGGAGGAGGGGTAACGCCGCTTGATGGAGCGCAGCGCACGAGTTTCGTCGACGCACCGCTAGACCGCGTCATTCATTACCTAGTGTGTGTTTAGTGATGGGCCGTAGGATACTATCGATAGTAGCATGGAAGGCTTTCGAAAATGTACGCAGATGATCCCTATAATATATTTTATAGACCATGATGGTATTTTACTTTTATATTATAATAGGAATAATAATAAACAAACAAATATAAAGTATGAGAAAGCAAAGAACAATTTTAGAAAATCTTCCTGTTTATTATTATTTTTTTAATTAAATGGAAAAGGAATTGATTAAAAATACATCTTAAAGTCAAATAAATTAATAAAGGCAAATTACTTATAATTATTATTTTTTGTTTTTATGGTTTATATTGTGATTTTAAAGAAATGGCTCATAAAATTTTTGCAGAAATTACGAATACAACTTTTTTATTACATTTTTTTTAATATATACTATAGATTTACTATGTTATATTACTTTTTCAACTAAAATGAAATTTAAAAACTATCTATAAAATCCTTATTTGTATCGATAAACGACAGCAATTATAACTAGAATCGAAATTTTGTCACTTTGAACAGACCTCGCGTAGCCCGTTGATCCGAGCGTCATACACAACGGTAAACTATTGCTGTAGTTCCAAGTTCAAACCACTCATCAAGTGGAGTTGTATTTTTTATATTATTTTCACTTTTAATTTGTTAGCCAACTAATTATTTTGTTTTTATTTTATAAAATGGCTCAATTTGGGAAATAAACAAATTATAAAAAAAATTATAAAATAACCTATATAAATTTATTATAATTATTAAATTAATAAAAAAATAGATGACGTTAAAAAAATTTAATACGAAAAGTGGGTTTTTTGGTTGGGTATTTACTGATGGATTGTTCTCCAACTGTTTCAACTTTGAACAAATACAATAATATTTCGTTGTAATTATTTATGAAAATAATAAAATGAACAATAATTAAATGGTAATTAAGAAATACTTCCAAATAAGAAAAGCAACAATAAGTACAACACAAAATGTAGGGATTTGAACCCAATCCATAAAGAATAATGGTCCTATAAACTGTATGTATAGGACTGATAGACCACTCAATCACGAGATAAGACATTGAAATTATGCTTTAAATAAATTAATTAACAACTGCTAATACATCCAAATAATTTATAAATACGAAATATGTGAATATATATTTTTTAGTTTCGTGTTTTCGAAGGTCTAATAAAATTAAAACTCTCAATAATAAATAAATACGAAACATATTTCGTAACGGTGAGCGGGCGATGAGCGGCATAGATCCATCTAGCAAGTTTGAAGAGAACCGAAACAACGCCGCGGTGGCGAGGTGTTTTGGCCACTGCGTTCGAATTAATTTTAATGGATTAAATTAATATTTACAAATATCTTACTTCAATCAACAAATTAAGACAACAGTCCTTTTTATTAATATATTCTACACCACTGATATTAATTTCATTGAGATTTGTACATTTATTATATCTATTTTTTAATTTGAAATTCACGTTTAGAGGTAGTTTCGTGATTTTTTTCTATCGAGAAAATATAGAATATGTTTTGAAAACAATGGTCCATTAGAATGTAAGAATAAGATTAACATATATTTTTTTCGCGTCTATAAAATGTATAGATTTTGTTAAAAAAATCTTTTGAAAAACCTATTTTTACTGCATACAGCGCCTTAAGTACGTTTCGCAGGGTAAGCAGTTATGTAATTCTACAGCTAAATTAAGCAAAATAATTACTAAAGCCAATATGAAATTACAGAAAATTGTTTACATGCACCCGAGTCACTTGATGGCAAAACGAGAAACCAGATTCATTCGATGAAACACTAGAAAACGGGCATGCCCTGAGTCACCATCGAAAGATTGAAACATAGCTTTCTATACTTTTTGCACCAAAGGGAACATCCCACTGTTTTAGTTGATTTATTTCCAATGGAGATTTTTATTAGAGCATATAGACCACCAAGACGTCCTTGATTCTCGTCATGGGAAGCTTAGAATTGTGATTTAGGATATTTTACACAGATTATTTATGTAATGCACGGAAGCAAGGAAGACAGGTAGAACGACACTAGAAATTTTCCTTACACCAATACCGTCATATTAAATTGGCAAGTGAATGTTGTTTACTTATTAAGGCGTTGTATGCAGTAAAAATATGTTTTTCAAAAGATTTTTTAACAAAATCTTTACATTTTATAGCAGCAAAAAAAATATGTTAATCTGGATCTTACATTCTAATGGAACATTGTTTTCAAAACATATTCTCGATATATTTTCCCGATAGAAAAAAATCATGAATCAACCTACAAGAGAAATTCAAATTCAAAAATGAACGTAATACATCAACAAATCTAAAATGAAATTAATATCAGTGGTGTAGAATATTTTAATAACAAGGATTGTTGTCTTAATTTGTTGATTGAAGTAAGATATTTGGAAATATTAATTTAATTCGTTAAAATTAATTCCAACGCGACGGCCAAAAGACAGCGCCACCGCGGCGTGGTTTCGGTTTCTTTCAATTTCACACGTTGAACAGAGAGCGCTGAGGGGCGTTGCTAGATGGACCTATACCGCTCGTCTTCCGCTCACCGTTGCGAAATATGTTCCGTATTTATTTATTATTGAGAGTTATAATTTTATAAGATCTTTAGAAAACACGAAACTTAAAAATATATATTCAAATATTTCGTATTTTTAATTATTTGTATGTATTAACAACTAAAGCGTAATATCAATATTTTATCTTGTGATTGATAAGTTTATCAGTCCTGTACATACAGTATAAAGGACCATCATTCTAATCCGTACATATCTTTGTTATATTTATTGGTGATTTTTTTATTTTTATAAATAATTACAACGAAATATTATTTTATTTGTTGAACCTAGAAGGCAACAGTTGGAGAACAATCTATCAGATAATAAACCAACTTTTCTTTCTTCTTTGTCTTACATTGTATATTATTTTTAATTTGTTTTATTAAAATATTTAATTTTTTACCCTAAAACGAAAATTATTCTTTTACGAACACGAAAAATAATTGTTTTATAATTTTTTCATATTTTATAATTATAAACTTATCAATCGCAAGATAAGATAAATTACGCTTTAGTTGTTAATACATCCAAATAATTAAAAATACGAAATATGTGAATATATATTTTTAAGTTTTGTGTTTTCGAAAGTTGTAATAAAATTCTTACTCTCAATAATAAATTAATACGAAACATATTTCATAACGACGAGCGGAAGACGAGCGACATAGGTCCATCTAGCAACGCGCCTCAGCGCTCTCGTGTTCGAATTAATTTTAATGAATTAAATTAATATTTACAAATATTTTACTTCAATCAACAAATTAAGACAACAATCCTTGTTATTAAAATATTCTACACCACTGATATTAATTTCATTAAGATTTGTTGATGTATTACGTTCATTTTTGGATTTGAATTTCTCTTTTAGAGGTAGTTTCATGATTTTTTTTTATTGAGAAAATATATCGAGAATACGCTTTGAAAACAATGTTGCATTATAATGTAAGATCAAGATTATCATATATTTTTTGATACTATAAAATGTGTAGGTTTTGTTAAAAAATCTTTTGCAAAACCTATTTTTACTGCATACAGCGCCTTAAGAGAAAAATTTTGAATATTTTCTACAGGTATTTTAAGATGTCATTATATTATACTGAGAGACATTACCTCTAGATCTACCAAAATACACTTTATATTTTTATTCCCTTGCTAGTGTCGAAGTATGTGACATAAACAGCCGTATTTGTTGTTTGCGTTGACTTAGATGTTTCAACTCCGTATTCAAATTCGTATTTACTCTAAGAGTGACCCCAGTGTCACTCTAAGAGTATATCAAAATAAAAAATTACACAGAAACACAATCCAGTTTTTTGATTTTTAACTTATATTCCACTTGTTTCCATTAGAGGCACGGAACCGTAAATGTGAAAAATATAACACTGCCATTAACTTTATATATTTTAATCGCAGGAAGAACTTATGAAATTACAAGACATCCCAAACTCCTTAGCTGTGTTCTGTATGGCTACATATGGAGAAGGAGACCCAACTGACAATGCTATGGAGTTCTACGAATGGTTAAAAAATGGTGAACCAGATCTTACTGGTTTAAATTATGCGGTATGTACTGACAATAATTTTCCTACTAACATTTATTTTTACATATTACATATACATTCCTTATTTCATTAACATATTACATTCTCCTAGTAACATTATCGTTGCCTGAGGAATGATTTTAATATATCTAAGCATTGCCTTCCTTCTACCGCAGCCCCCTAAAATTGATGCTACGGAAACTCTAGAAGAACAGATTAAAACTCCAGATCTAGATTCATCTAATTTCTTAGTTTTCCCTTATATATCGTTGTTATTTGTTATGTTTTTGGTGGTATATTTAAAACTAAAATATTCTTTATGGTCTCTATATATTCTGTATTATCTAGAATACAATCGCGTACTACGGGGATACTATCCGTTGTATTAAATTATCAAAATCAGTCGATGAACAGTTACTGTTACCTACTGCTAAATACTTCCTTACCCCAAAATTTTAGGATGAACAAAAATATTTTATAACTACTTACTACTTCAATAATGCGCAATAAATTTAGCAAAGCCACCGATTGTTGTTGAAGCCATGACTAGAATTTTAATGTGATACTGATTTGGACAATATGTTCAGAATAAATTCACCATATAAGTATGATGCGTAGGGAATAAACGAATAATCTGTTAAAATTAAACATGTACGGTCCACTACGAAATATTGATTGATATTCACTCGTAATATACGTTTTCTTGTTGCTACAAACACAATTTACTAAAAAATAACCTGTATAGTATAATATCCATTTTAATAAATAAGCAAGTATTTAATTTATTCTTTTGTTAAAATTACGCGACTTAATTATAACAATACTTTTACAATATGCTCTTTGCTTATCATCAAACCTCAATAATAGCACATTCTTATTCAATTAAGAGAAACAAATGTAATTCAAACAGCAAAATTGGCTTACTGTACAGTGCACTAAATTAAGTTGAGGTAGTAAAATTAATCAGTACAGTAAAAATAAGTCTTTGAAGTATTGCGAATTGCAAAAAGATTAGTTATTTTATACCTTCTGTACTGTATGACTATATGGATTTAAGCAATTATGATAGAATAACCAACAATGTGTGTTGTTTTATAGCTTTGCCTGGTTAACCCATGTCCCAATGTCAATAACCATATATGACCACGGCCTCGCTCTTTAATATATTTTATATATGACACAAGGCAGCAAACTAACAGTTGTTAACTTGTCTTTTTGTTTTTTTTTTTTTTTGAAGTTATACTTCTTTTGGCACGTTTGGAAAAAAAATGAGAGTAAAACGCTACGTTTTGCAGATTTGCAATACCGTTACTAGTTTACGACATCTGCATTGACAATTAGAATTATCACATAATTAAGGTCATTTTTAACATCAAACTACTACTGTTTTTCGAATAAAAGTGAATTTACAGAATTCATTTATAAATTATTTACATTTATAAATTAATATAATACTCTTGGTATTGTAATGAAACCATAATCTGCAGATATTTTTTATCTGTGCTGTAAACGATTATTGTCTGTAGATGAACTTAAACAAATCAAATGACTTATCGTTATGACATTCCACAGACTAACTAGAGATGCTTACGCTTGTGTCATTCATTTGACAGCTTACAACGATATGTTATGCATGTATCTAGCACGGTCTTGTGAAGTGATAAATACGATTAAATGTTTTAAAAACATTAAATATGGCTAAGGTGAAGTTATTTAGAAAAGAAGTACGATGAACAGATCCATTTAAAGTGTCAATTATATACGCAAAATACTTTTACATGATGTTTATCTCCCTTGTAACCATTTCAGAAAAAATACTACCACGTTATATCACACACCTTTTACATAGGAAAATTATATTATCACCTGTAATAAAACTTCGACACATGGTACTACATTTGTATTCTCTTAAAAATATTATTGTTTTGCTTGTTGCTTTCATATACCTCTACTCTAAAATTGACTGCATTAAGTAGCCATGTCACCAACTGCCATATAATAGGTGCCAATGCGACTCAATAATTTATGTGTTTCATAAATAATTGTATTTTTGAGGTTACTTATCGGTCATTGCATGATTGTGATATCACCCATTAGTGTGTTGCGTTTGTAATATTTCTAAATATTTTATGTCACAATTCAAATCAATTTCAATCATTGTCTGGCATTTTTTTAATTCAATGTACTCGAGCAACTGAGGTTCATTCTCCATTGGTGGTACAAATGAAATTGTTAACTTAAAGTGATAAGATAATGACAAGTACAGCAGTGAAGGAGTTGTGATGAAACCTACATATTTTTGACAAAATATTGAAGTATGCTAATCTGCAGTGGGGCTGTATGGTGGACTATGCCCTAATTCCTTACATACAGAGGATACCTCTGCCCAGCAGTAGAAGATATATATTCTGTTACTTTTACCTTTACAATATTTATAAATTTTTATATTTTCATGAAAGTTTTGTTGATAACTGCCTAATATCTAAATTGGCTTTTGTTAATTTCAGGTGTTTGGTTTAGGGAATAAAACATATGAGCATTACAATGCAGTGGCCATTTATTTAGATAAGAGACTTGAAGAACTTGGCGCTACTCGTGTATTCGAACTTGGATTGGGGGATGATGATGCCAAGTAAGAATTATAATAAAGTGATTATCTCAAAAAATAGTTATTAGTAAGCCTATAAAGCTTGTAATAATTATGTTTATTAGAATAGTTTATTAAAAATTTTCAATTTTTAAATTAAAAATTACATAATAATGTGTTAATATATTATAATCTCACATAAAATTCTATTTCACCTTGTGTGATAATAAAATGGATTTAAACAAATTGAGTGCAGAGGACATATGAGTTAACAACTTCACTGTCCATAAAAATGTTGAGTCAGCCCACATTTTTTCAGTGTTATTTAGATTTAAGTATATATTTGTGGTATTTCAGTAAATCTTAAGTAATATTTTTATTAATCTTTCTTCTGTATAAATCAAGTAAGAAAACAATAAAAATTTAATGCCCAAAGGTGTGAAGGGTATGTTTACCTGGCATTATCTAGTGCAGGCACATAATAAAATAAAACTCAAAACCAGGACTATATTATTACAGAAACTTAGAGTGATACATATACAATGCTCTTTAATATGATCAGAATAATAATAAAACATGTTATGTATGTACAATGCCTTAATTAGCTACCTTCAACACGTCAACCGCCCCTACCTTCGCCTATTTATCTTTATTGGAAAACAAAGTAAAAATACCTATCTTTAAGATTACTCATATTGGAACGTGACGCTATTTGACCTCCACAGAGTACTAATTCGATTCATACAACATCATCACATTAGACAATCATGCTCAAAGATGTGAGGGGCAACACACTGTGCCCCGCATCATGCCTATCGGCATGATGGGCAGGCAAGGTGTCAAGAATCTGTGAGATATTTTAAACATCACAAATATAATGTTATATTAAATCAATCCTTAATATTTGTTTAACAGCATTGAAGATGATTTTATTACATGGAAAGACAAATTTTGGCCAGCTGTTTGTGAAAAGTTTAATATTGAGAACACAGGAGAAGAAGAACTTATAAGACAGTTTCATCTTGTTACTCATAAGACTGATGAAGTTGCCCCTAACCAAATATTTACTGGGGAAATTGCTAGACTGCATTCATTACAAGTTCAGAAGCCGTAAGTGAAAAAAAAATTCTACATAAAAATTGGGAAAATATTTAGAATAGATTCTTTTACTTTTTTTTTTTTTTTTCATTTATATCTTTTGCATTGATTTAAGCAAGACAATATACTGTTGAGCATTAAATATTTTCTATATCTTATGATTTCTCCAGTTTAAACTTTTATGACAGTAAAATAGATAGTGCGTTATAGCTTTATCACCCTACCTATTTATTGACTAATAAACTTACTCCTATAATGCTATTTTTACTTTTTATTACTTTGTGGTAATATATTTTGTTATTTTTCAGGCCTTATGATGCTAAAAATCCTTTCCTAGCTGAAATTAAAGTTAATAAGGAATTGCACAAAGGTGGCGGCAGGTCATGCCTACATGTAGAACTTGACATAACAGATTCAAAGATGCGATATGAAGCTGGTAATTGTTAATAATGATTGTATATTCTAACAGTCCAAGAGAACTGGGCCCACCAGACATTACTTATTTTTTGCGTAACAAAGTGTGTCAAAATCAAAAATATATTTATTGAAATAGACACTTGCGCGCTCTTATGAATCGTCAAATTTTACATCAAAGATTATGTATATAGGTTCGTAAAGTACCACCGGTTCGGAAAGTAGTTTCTGTTGAGAAGAGACCGTGTCGTAAGGAGAAGTACCTTAAAGATATAAATACCAGCCAGATAAATCGTGGGAGCCAAACAGCTGTACCATTTAATTAGTTGGTTTTATTGGTTTATGAACTTTTTCGTAAAGGTTAAATTACATAGTAGTTTGGGGTTGTAGCAATATGCTGGTAAACACTGCCCATGTACACTGTTACTCTTTTCTTCACTTGCACTTAACTTTACACTTCCCTCGTCTTCATCCTTAAGCTCCATCGCTGAACTGCCCGTCTCCGGTCTCCGTTTATAGGCCGAATTTATATAGTCTTTGCCCGATAATTTCTTGGATTTACGCGATTACACATCAAGTCGTTCTTGAAGCAAGATGAATTTTGATGGTATTTTTGTGCATATAATTTTTTGTAATCGGTATTTCGCTGCGGGCGTGATGCTGTTATACGTCCGGTAAGGATAAACTTACATTCTCTAATTTACTATTTCTTAGTGATTTCCAACCAGATTGAATATCCAACATTGTCATATTACAAGTAAAAGTATTGACAAATCTAAATATAAAAAAAAATCAATAAAATCTTATCCCATTGGGTTCTTATATGTGGTCTCGCTAATACTTTTAAGTTATGGGAATTCAATAAAATAGGTTGCTACATAATAGACTGTAAGTAAATTTTTGCAAGTTTTCTGGAAACTAAAGCATTTAGAAGCCGACTTAGTGCCGAAGGAAACCGTCTAGCTACATTGATTTTAAATATTTAATGATTTTGTAATTTGCCATTGGCTTAAGCTAGAAGATATTTATATCTTCAGGCTATACCCTAATACTATTTTGTACGACACACTTTGTTAATCAGACAATAAGTAACGTCTGGCCGCCCCAGCTTCTATTCTATAAGGATAAACTTACAAATTGAAACTTGTATAATATTTTGCAGGGGACCATGTTGCTATTTATCCAATTAACAGCAGTGAATTAGTGGAACGTCTTGGAGAACTGACTGGCGCTAATTTGGATGAAATATTCTCTCTTATAAATACTGATCAAGAAAGTAGTAAAAAGCATCCCTTCCCATGCCCAACATCATACCGTACAGCACTTTCGCATTATTTGGAGATAACTGCTCTACCTCGTACACACATTCTCCGAGAACTTGCAGAGTACTGTTCTGATGAAGAGGTATGTAATATTTTCCAAATAAAGATATTTTATAAAGACTAATGCATTATTTACTAATTCCTTGCAATTAATTTCAGGATAAGAAGAAACTCTTACTAATGGCAACAAATTCCCAGGAGGGCAAAGCACTTTACCAGACTTTCATTGTTGATGCCTGCAGAAATATTGTGCATATTTTAGAGGACCTTAAGTCCTGTAAACCACCTATTGATCATATTTGTGAATTATTACCACGTCTTCAGCCCAGATATTACTCCATTTCATCAAGTCCTAAGGTTTGTTGAACAATTTAATTATTTTGTACAAAATATTGCTTTTGTTGACAAATAATTTTGATTCCTGTTAATAATGTTAATTCACAAAAACGTCACATTATCTAAGATTATGTATATAGCTCAGAAAATAGGTAAGGTAACACTTCAAACTAAAGGAAACAAAGGCAAAGCCATTATCATATAAATTCCAAATTATACAACTGCTGTATATTCGTAAATTTATTTTAAGTATACATATAATATTGGAATATGAATTCCGCATGCAATTAACGATGTAATAAAAAGGAGAATGGTTCAAGGTTAAAATTTATATGGACTAATTATACTTCCAGCTTCATCCAGAGACAGTTCACATCACTGCTGTGGTAGTTGAATACAAAACGCCAACTGGTCGCACGAACAAAGGTGTAGCGACCACATGGCTGGCGAAACATAAGCCCGAAGCTGGCAAACCTCTGCCGCGCGTGCCTGTCTTTATTAGAAAATCTCAATTCAGGTATGTGCTACACATGAAATTATACTTAGACTTTTTTTTAATTCTTTCACCTTTCCATATTTATTACTTATTAACATCATCATCAACGTATTATCACAAAAACTGTATTATACTTTGAATTTATTACAGATTGCCATTGCAAACTCAGACTCCAATTGTGATGGTAGGTCCAGGAACAGGCTTAGCGCCTTTCCGTGGCTTCTTGCAAGAAAGAGCTCACGCTCGTGTTAATGGAAAAGACGTTGGACCCAACATTTTGTACTTTGGATGTAGACACCGTGATCAAGATTATATTTATCAAGAAGTTAGTTGTCAAAGTTTTTTTTTTTTTTCATAATTTGAACAATATAGCTCGGAGACATTTTAATAAATCTTTTCGACATTACAGGAATTGGAAGAATATGAAAGGAACGGCGATGTTAAGCTCAACGTAGCATTTTCCCGAGATCAAGCCCAAAAAGTTTATGTGACTCATCTTCTTGAAAAAAATATGGATGAACTTTGGGATATTATAGGCAATCGGAATGGACATTTCTACATCTGCGGGTATGTTCTTTTTATACATAACAATATAAAAAGTCAGTTATTGGATTTGAAAATATTCTAATGGTCATTTAATTCTACTTCAGTGATGCTAAGAATATGGCTGTGGATGTTCGTAATATTGTATTGAAAGCTGTACAAGAGAAAGGAGGTCGTACAGAATCAGAGGCTGTGCAATTTCTGAAGAAACTTGAATCCATGAAGAAATATTCTGCAGATGTATGGAGTTAAAACACAGGGAACTTATTACTAGTTAATTTAAACTAATACTGGGCACATTATTGACAGATTGTATAAGATGAATGTATCCAAAATATGTCTGCACTTGCCTGCATGGACTTCATTGCTTTCATTAATTACTATCTGAAAGTAATTAATGAAACAATGTAAGTCCAACAGTGTAATATCGACATTTTTGTAATTTTCTAGATATATTTTTATATTTAAAAAGTTTTCATTAAATGACGTACAAAAATTATACATTTGTGTAAATTTTTAATAATGTTGACATGAAAAATAATAAAATAATTAATGTAACATTGACTGTTCCTAAAAGGAATGTAGTGGTTGTTATTGTACAATTTAGATGTACATTTCAGAGTTGTTGAAACTTTTTATTTAAGTGGATTGGGGAATACAGATATAATACGAAAATGAGTTTTTATATTATGTTATGACAGTAAAATCATTTTATTCAAATTTTGTTTTATTAGTTAGATATTTAATCTTTTTATAACTTCGTACGTTATAACTAAAAAACTTCCTAAACCGAACACGAAAATTATTCTTCTCATTTTACAGCGTGTCGTTACAACCGCGACAATAAATGAACACATATAGAGGATAGTAAAGTAAATATCAGCCTACACATGTCCCACCGCTGGGTAAAGGCCTCTTCTGTACAGACGGTATTATTATATAGGGTGCAGTGGGGCAATTCCGAAAACGGGTATATTCCGAAATCGTTAAATTTCTATTAATTATATTTCTCTACTAGCAACGTTAGGCCGGACAGCATATTTAATAACCACGCCGTCTCAGTCGTAGCAAGTCGCTAGTGACAATATTATGTGTGTGACAGCAAGTTTTCTTGGACAAGTGTTTTTCGCGTTATTTTTCGTGATTCATAATAACCCCAATAAATTTATTTCGCAATTTTGGTAAGTTACATGAACAAGTTTTCCTTTTAACCATAGATTATCGTATTTTGCGTTTATGTACGAGGAACATAACATTCTAATTGTTATTAATTTTTTTTCGGAAATACCCTTCCGGGTTTATTCCGATATATTATATTTTCCTTATAACCCCATTTAGCTTTCACATAGTAATTAGCAGTGGTTCTCAAACTTATTTTTATGTATTTGCATTATTAACAAATTTGTTTTACATATCTATCATGTCCCGAAATAAGAAAGATATTTTTATGTATTTGCATTATTAATTTTTTATGCACTTCTGGCGCCTTTGTGTGTGCTGGAAAGGATGTAACAATAGATGCGCCAATCATTGCTTCAAATGCTAAATAACAATGTAGAAAGAAGGCGTTAAGATTTTCGTCGCTGTGGCTATCAGCCGTTTAGCTCAGTGGCTAGAGCGTCAGGCCTCGAATGCCGAAGACGTGGGTTCGATTCCCACAGCGGCGACAATCTTTTCGTACTTTTTCTACATGTTTTAATGTTCAATCTTAAGTGCAGAGATTAGCACTATAAAAAACTTTAAAATTAATGAAACTTTACAATAATATTGCTTATACATCAGAATAAGACATAGGCTATAATTTTTATTTTATGTATATCTGTCTTTCTGTCTGAATGTTACGCCTTCAGCCTATTCCAAGTACATAAACGTACTTATTACTTTCTCTTTGGCCTATTCTACGCAGACGTAGTCGCGGGCAGCAGCTAGTTATGAATAAAGAGATACTAGCGCGAAAAAGAAAATTGAAAGAAAAATTATACAGTGTGTCGTTACCATCGAGACAATAAATTATCACACATATAGGGGATAAGTTTTTAAAGTTGTGTTAAACATTTAAATTCTTTAAACATCAATATTTACAGAGTTTATAATTTTCCAAAACAAAGAATTTTAGAAAACCCTTACCTATAAAAGCGTAACGCAAGTTCATTTGTAAAGGTCACAAAGCATATGAATGAGTTGAATGAATTTAAAAGAGACAAAACAGTATGTTTTATTCCGATATATTATATTTTCCTTATAACCCCATTTAGCTTTCACATAGTAATTAGCAGTGGTTCTCAAACTTATTTTTATGTATTTGCATTATTAACAAATTTGTTTTACATATCTATCATGTCCCGAAATAAGAAAGATATTTTTATGTATTTGCATTATTAATTTTTTATGCACTTCTGGCGCCTTTGTGTGTGCTGGAAAGGATGTAACAATAGATGCGCCAATCATTGCTTCAAATGCTAAATAACAATGTAGAAAGAAGGCGTTAAGATTTTCGTCGCTGTGGCTATCAGCCGTTTAGCTCAGTGGCTAGAGCGTCAGGCCTCGAATGCCGAAGACGTGGGTTCGATTCCCACAGCGGCGACAATCTTTTCGTACTTTTTCTACATGTTTTAATGTTCAATCTTAAGTGCAGAGATTAGCACTATAAAAAACTTTAAAATTAATGAAACTTTACAATAATATTGCTTATACATCAGAATAAGACATAGGCTATAATTTTTATTTTATGTATATCTGTCTTTCTGTCTGAATGTTACGCCTTCAGCCTATTCCCCAAGTACATAAACGTACTTATTACTTTCTCTTTGGCCTATTCTACGCAGACGTAGTCGCGGGCAGCAGCTAGTTATGAATAAAGAGATACTAGCGCGAAAAAGAAAATTGAAAGAAAAATTATACAGTGTGTCGTTACCATCGAGACAATAAATTATCACACATATAGGGGATAAGTTTTTAAAGTTGTATTTAACATTTAAATTCTTTAAACATCAATATTTACAGAGTTTATAATTTTCCAAAACAAAGAATTTTAGAAAACCCTTACCTATAAAAGCGTAACGCAAGTTCATTTGTAAAGGTCACAAAGCATATGAATGAGTTGAATGAATTTAAAAGAGACAAAACATACTGTTAGAAGGAGAGGCTTGTAATACGACGCTGTGGCGCGAGTTGTATAGGATGTTACAAATTTTGTTTCTTTTTTACTTAATTAGTTTGTTTGAAAAATATTTTTTTTTATTATGGATTTTGTTTAACGTTAATATTTTTTTATGATTATTGGCACGTAGCGTTAGATGTGTGTTCATTTATTGTCGCGATGGTAATGACACGCTGTATAGGCGACAATAGACCAGAAATGAGAGTATGTATATATAGAAAAATTACAAAAGAAAAAAAGCGCATGTTATTGTAATTTTTTATTAAAATATGTCCTTTTTTAATAGAAAATCTTATTTAAATAGTTAAGCAGAATAATAAAATCTGCATTTAAAACTTTTGATTGAATATGAAATAATGTGTGGAAAAAATAACCTTTTTGTAAGTTTTTTTTTACAAATATAAATTATTTAAAATATATGTATTGTAAAGTAACAGCCTATTTACATCCCTGCTGGGTAAAGGGCACCTCTGTACAGAGGGTTTTAGAGCATAGGCCACCACGCGACTCTGCTGCGGATTGGCGGACTTCACATATCTTCAAATATTTTTTTGTTGTTATTTCGAAAATATGCAGATCTACTCACGATGTTTTACTTCACCGCTGAGAACGTGAATAAGTCAGCACTTTAAATTAATAATTGCCGGAATTAAATCGGTGTCGGCGCCGGATATCGTAAGTAATTAGGTGATCGCATCACAACTCTGACGTCAGCATTCACTCCCACCGTTTCGCTGTGGTGAAGAACGCCTTCGCTCGGCGGTCAACCGGCGTCGTCCTTGACTCAAAGCTCAAGTTCAGCAAGCACGTGACTCGGGTCAAGTATCGGGCGGTCTTCGTACTCGGTCGCCCCTATTCATTGCTAAACAAGACGTCAAAAATGTACCTTCGGAACGAGGTGACATTATATAGGGCAGTAGTTCGCCCTATTATGAAGTAATCAAGTCCAGTTTAGTCCCACATTGCTCCGAAGCAAATGCACCTTCAAGTCATCCAAAATCGATTCGTACGCAGAGCTACGGGAGCACCCTGGTTCATGCGCAACATCAACCTGCGATGATTTAGAGCTGTGCACAATCGCTCAATTCCGGAAGTCGGCGTCGCGCCGATACATCGAATCCGCCGCCGCGCATCCCAATCCGTTAGTCGTAGGTGCCGTCTAGTTTCTTCCACCACCTGTTCTCCCAGCGCCAACGCCAACGAAGTGGTAGTAATGATAGGTCTAGAAATTCTTCCAGTCGCAAAAAAGAAAGGTCTACCGTGTATTAATTGTGTGACTAGAATTGAGGAGTTGTTATTTTATTTAATTAATTTGTTCCGTACCGAGTTGTTGTAATTGTTTGATAAATATATTAAATAGAAAATGTAGATGATTTAATAATGGTGCTTTTACGTCATCTGATCCCCACATCTTTCATACATACTCATACTTCAACTAAGTATAAGTAATATGAAGACTAGGAGTGAGCCATACTAGGTTAAATCGAGTACCTGTTATGCCTGTTCCTGTTACTTAAAAGTAACAGTGACAAATAAAAAATGTGACAAGTGAAAAAAAAGACCGATGTAAAAAAAGAAAGAGCTTGTTACAGTGACAGAGATAACAACTGTGGCAAGGTGTAACATTTTTTTATCTTTTTCTAAGGTAACAGTCGTAAGATGAATAATGAAAAGCTTGTGACAGTGTGTTAACGAGAAATTTGTATGGGACATTCCTATTCCACACAAATTGCTCGAAATTGCTTATGAACTGTCTGTCTGTTAACGGCACAGTGTACAAAATATTTCGCTCGCGCAACGGTCGAGGAAGCGAAGTGAACATACTTAGGCTAATCCAAAAGTAATGATTTTTGTTTATTTCCAGTGCGCATATAATCCCCAGAATATAATATATAATTAAATAAAACCCAGAATATAAATAAAATAAACCAGAATATAATAATAAATGTCTACCAAAGGCATACACAACGTCTTGGTGGAGACATTAGGGAATTGCACGCTTGGCAAAAAAATCCTTGCCAACGAATTACATATCTAGGCAGGTCTCGGCGCTTTGGATGCCTAGAACATTAACCGACAAAAAAAGAAATAGGTCAAATATCAGGTTCTTCCTACACAGACTAAATAAGAAGATTGCGGGTGACTGTTAGAACAAAAGATGCGTCAGACTGCGAGCCGTGCTGTTTTATTAAAACAACTCACTGATTCACAAGACTGGAATTCAAAACACCCTTGAATACCCAGACCATATTGGTCACACCAGATCTAGACTTCTACCTCTTTTCACATGTAGATAGATGTCTTATGTCATAAGTGATATATGCTGTTAAGGCGTTTTGAAAGAGTCGAGACAAATATTATACTATTACTAAGGCTATTCTTGTAGGGTGTAATTGGACGGATGGCTACAGCCATCACCCACTTGTTCTTCAAGATAATTGAGTCCATTATCAACTGCCAGCTCCTGCAGTACCTAGAGGAGCACAGGCTGATTAGCGACCGCCAGTACTGCTTTCATCGGGGTCGTTCAGCCGGTGTGTCTACCTTACGCATAGATGGGCAGAAGCAGTTGTGAGTAAGGGGGAGGCGCTTACAGCCAGTCTGGAGTAGCGAAGGCCTTTGATTCATTTAATGCTGTTGTACCATAAGGCTGCGTACTGTCTCCTACTTTGGTTTCTTCTGGATAACAATGACGTTGCAAATCAGCAACGTTCCTTGCTATGCAGGCGATAGCAGTGTATTGTACACCCGGCCATGCTAACATTTCTCTGGAAAACGTCTACGAGATCCGGAACAAGCTTGTGTTTGAAGTCGAGACTTTGTCAAACAAATACTCAGACTGGGTTCGACTTAGTTCAATTCAACCCCAAAAGAACACAAATTTTCGCCTTAATGACTAAAAAGTCGCTCATTTGTCGTAACACCTTATTTTGAGACACTCCCCTTTCTGCCACAGCTAATATCGGAATAGTTGGTGTCGAAATCTCGAGCAACGGCAAGTTCTGCGGTCAATTGGAAGGTAAGGCCAAATTGGCCTCAAAGAAGCTTGGTGAGCACAGCAAGGCGGGACCGTACTTCACGTCGGCTCAAGGCGCAAATTCGGCCCCACAAGGAGTACTGTTCTCATCTCTGGGCAGGAGCTATTACCAGCTTTTTCCATTTGACCGCATTCAACGTGGGTCGGCTATGGTTATCGACGATCAGTCTTTCCGGTCGGCTTGATCCTTTGGCTCTGCGTAGATATTGGATCACTCTGCATCTTCTACCGCATTTATCACGTATCAACTTTACATATCTTAAACAGCCTTTCACTTTCGTAATTGAGTGAATTTTTAACCTTTTTATTAACTAATAGCTTAAGTGTGCGAAAGCGTTCCCGTGGCCTATATATCTTTAATTTATCCTTTAAATGTTAAAGTCTTTAATAGTAAGTCTAATACGTTATATAAATTCCTCAATGAAATGATATTTAAAAAATATCGATAAAATTCATTATATCGATAAACGGCAACAATTATAACCAGAATCGAAATTTTGTCAACTTCCACAGACATCGTGTAGCCTATTGGTCCGAGCGTCATGGTAGGTGAACAATTACGGTAGTCCCAAGTTCAAACCTTATTGAGTGGTGCATCTTTTTCTAATTTTAATTTGGTAATCAATTATTTTGTTTTTATTTCATAATATGTGGAAAATAAAGTAATTAATGAAAAAATTATAAAACAATTATTTTTCGTGTTCGTAAAAGATCAATTTTCGTTTAGGGTGAAAAATTAAATATTTTAATAAAAACATTGGTATAATGTAATACCGCCCATAAAAATTTGATAAACCCGGGTTGCAAATGCGTTGTAACTTTTAAATAAAGTGGGCCGGGTGAGTCTACTGTACGCCGGTCTTCTGTGAGGTCGTGGTACTTACCCGAACGGACCTGCCCATTCGTGCAACAGTGAACTGTTGCGTGGCCCTACCACAGGTAGAAGAATTATGAACCTGTTATTTAGTAGGTATATTTATTTATAGGTAGGTATTGTATTTTGTAATTGAAGGTAATTAAGTATAATCGGAATGGATAGTTGTTTCACTAAAACTAAGGTATATTACAATTACGTTGAGGGACAAATGGCTTGGCGTTTTCACGCGGTGGGGGTTTCCTGACAGATACTATGACTATAAACCGACTACTATGTTGAGTTTTTATTGTTTACAATTTAAATATACAGCGTGTCGTTACCATCGCGACAATAAATGAACACACATATAGGGGATAACTTTTTAAAGTTGTATTAAACGTTTAAATTCTTTAAACATCAATATTTACAGAGTTATTAAATTTTCCAAAACAAAGAATTTTAGAACACTCTTACCTATATAAACGTAACGTAAAGTTCATTTGTAAAGGTCACAAAGCATATGAATGGGTTGAATGAATTTAAAAGAGACAAAACATACTGTTAGAAGGAAAGGCTTGTAATACGACGCTGTGGCGCGAGTTGTATAGGATGTTAGAAATTTTGTTTCTTTTTTACTTAATTAGTTTGTTTGAAAAATATTTTTTTTTAATTATGGATTTTGTTTAACGTTATAATTTTTTTATGATTATTGGCACGTAGCGTTAGACTTGTGTTCATTTATTGTCGAGATGGTAACGACACGCTGTATACGTGAGCGATATAATATATGAATTTTCTTATTATATAATTGTTGTTTTTTCGGAATGTACTCATTAGAAATCGAAGTATGAGAAGCTCAATTCGTAGTGGGTGGGAAAATAGGATCTTATTTAGCAGATCGCGATCTATTAAAATGTAAATAAATGAATTGCTGAATTTTGAATATTTTTTCGGCGGTAGTAACTACGAAAAAACACCTTTAATGCTAGAGTAAATCAAAGTTTTTAAGTTTTAAAACGATAATTTATTGATTTAACCGTAAATATATTAGTATATGTACAATAAAGTCAACAAAATGCAAATGGAGAGCCAGGTATACAGTAAACCAACAGATGTAATACTTATATAGCAGGTTGTATGAACTATAGAAATCGATGGTGGTGAACTTATTTCTAAATGATACAAAAAAAGCTTTTTAAAATACCTAGGAAACTATAAATTACATTTGTCCTAAGCTAAGAACATTCTCCACTACACTACAATATGCTCATGAATCACTATGAAAAGAACACCTTTCAACTTAAAATACTGAATTTATTTATTAAGAACACTGAAATATCCATTGCTTTAAGTTTACTATGTTACCATTACACACTATTATTTACATAAAGACAAAGTCAGGAATTTCAACATGCTCATTATAACTCATATTTGCTCAAAGATTTATCATGTTATCATTGTATGAATTAAAATCTACGACAAAACTAGTTTTGTTGCAGTTGGTTATATACAATTTATTTGTAACAGATGAGAATTTTCAATATAATCTTTATAATTTTATGTAACACATAAAAATTTGCTAAACCGAGCCAAGGGATGATGAATATGAAAATCTTTGTCAAACTCATACCAGTACAATTACACTTTCACTAAGCATACACACAACAATATTCTTGTACTTTAATTTACATAGGTATTATACAAATAATCTACAATAACTATAATATAACAGTCAAATTACACAACAATGTGACATTTCTAATTACTGTAAAGTACATGAAACCTTTAAGTTTAACAACAAATTTTGTTATTTAGCTCGGCAGTCAATTTTTTATGTTGTATTGATATACCTATCATATTTTGTGTATAGGTTGCAGTAGGGGAGATCTCATTGAAAGGCACATTCTAAGCAGTCTCAAAGCATGAGCACAGTAAGATAAAACACAAATAAAGATGAAATATCTAGTTTATAAACAGAAAATAATTTGACTAAAGATGTCTTTAGCACTGCTAAAAGAAAAATGTAAGGCAATGCTTATCATTTTATAATGAGCATCCTGACAATATTAAGTAATCACTAGACAACAAAAACTATTAAAGTAAAAAAAAACTGTTCAAGTGCCAAATGGCAAACTTACAATTAACTTAAGAAACTCAAATTGCCATAGCTGTCATTTGAATTGTTATCCTTGACAAAAGATTTTATATTAACTGAAATTAGAATAAGATAATGCAAAGCCGTAACTTGTTGCTGATAAAAAAAGGAATAATAAAGCAGCAGTGTCAGTGCATGCTTTGATCAAAAAGAAATTTAAACTGAAACAAGTCAACATGTAAAATAAAATGTTTATGTATATTTTGTTACATCCTGTGTCAAGACACAAAAACTATTATTACCAGTCATAAGAAAATACACTTAATAATTTAAAATATTTAACTTGCTATTTCAATCAAGGAACTCATAAGACTATACATGTACACAACTCATAATGTGAGACTGCGTTTCTAAAGCTATTAGAGGATGATACGGCTGTTGAAGTACATTCACCGAAAGGCAATCCCATATTACTAGTCAGCGCTATCCAAAATTTAGGCAATAGTACTGTTGTGATATTCATGAATCTGGCGGAATTTCCCACTCCGCCAATCCACGCTCTACTAGCTCTCTATTTAAGAATATAACTTGCTGAAAAGAAAAAATAATTGGTTTTTAAGTTAATGCCAATCAAGTATTATTTAATTATATAATATTAAAGTTTTTAAAAGAAAGATATTTATTTAAGGGCTTCAACGCGAGCGAAGCCGCGGGCGAAAAGCTAGTTCTAATATACAGCGTGTCGTTACCATCGCGACAATAAATGAACACACATATAGGGGATAACTTTTTAAAGTTGTATTAAACATTTAAATTCTTTAAACATCAATATTTACAGAGTTATTAAATTTTCCAAAACAAAGAATTTTAGAACACCCTTACCTATAAAAGCGTAACGTAAAGTTCATTTGTAAAGGTCACAAAACATATGAATGGATTGAATGAATTTAAAAGAGACAAAACATACTGTTAGAAGGAGAGGCTTGTAATGCGACGCTATGGCGCGAGTTGTATAGGATGTTAAAAATTTTGTTTCTTTTTTGCTTAATTAGTTTGTTTGAAAAATATTTTTTTTAATTATGGATTTTTTTTAACGTTAATATTTTTTTATGATTATTGGCAAGTAGCGTAAGACGTGTGTTCATTTATTGTCGCGATGGTAACGACACGTTGTATATAATAAGTGAAGAGGTAAAATTTCTTTCCTTTCTTGGGCTATAATTAATAATCATTGGCACTGCTGAACCAAATCTAATACTTGTGTTTAGTAAATGTTTAAAATATTTTTATGTACCTAGTATTACTACTACTGTTATTCATAGTCACCTGTGGGTTAAGAGTAAGGTAAAGATGAACCAGTGGCAGGCCCGCTTCGTCGTAACCAGCGACTTGCGCGTGAAGCAGCTGCCCTGCTGTGAGGCCTGCCATTATACGAAGCGCTTCACTACTCCACTCCAATTCTGTAATTTTTTTTGTTATATTAGGTTATGTAAGGAAGTGGTGTAACCTTAACCAATAAAATAGTAAAAAGAGTGTAATAATGATAACATAGCATTCTCAATACATGGATTCGATTGAATCACATTAAAACAGTAGGGACGGACAAACAAATTTAAGTTTTTATATTTCTATGACATATCAAAATAAAATGTGCTCTAAACCACATTTTTTTTTAGAAATCTCCATTCAATATGGGTGTAAATTTCAAATTAATATGCAATTACAACAGTTAGCATGCAAAAATGAAAGTGTAATAAACACCTTCAATATAAAATTTTAAAACATGCAATTAGCTTGGTATATCTAATTTAATAATAATATAGTATCAAATATAACAACATCCATGACATACTATTATTATTTGTTCCATTGATTTTTCTACTTACTACAAAATATTTGCCAGACCTATAAATATGTTGATGTGGTGATAAGTAAGGCAGTACTTAAATCAGCATCACACATTTAAAATTAAATGATTAAAGAAATAATGTCTTAAGTTTTTTTTTATTGAAAATGCGGCGATTAATGCATACAAATCATTATATGGTAATTAAATTAAACAATTTGTAATCCTTTCACATATTAAAATTAAACACAAGAACAATAAGTATTATAAAGAAAATAAGTGACTTAGGTTGCACAAAAAATAATAAGGATAGAATTGACTAAAACAGAAAGACCTTTAAAAAGTATATAAGCAGGAAAATATAAGGCACAAGGAGATAAGTAGTATTATACATAATATTAACCATTATTTGCTGGTTTGACAAATGCCAATAGGGCTTCTGTTGCCTGAAAGGGCAGAGTCATAAAGTCTGAACGGATCTGTTTTAACTGGTCATTATCAACAGTGAGATATCCTCCAAAGTCCACCAGCTTTACAACAGATGTGTCATTTTCTTCCGATGTTGATATCACTTGAGCGCGATACCAGTTATTTTCTGTAGGTGCTGCACAGATTGAGCCCTCTGTGGATAAAATAATGGTGTATAAGTTATTTATCTTTAAATGTGTTAAGTATTTAAATTCCAATAAACTTATCAACCATAACCTTGGTAAAATTTTATAATGATTTTATTGTATCATTTGGTATTTGGTTGATAATGAATAACATCAAAAGTTTAATGAACTTTCTTGTACAAATTTTTGTCAATAAATATGCGATACCAGGACCACAATAAATTAATCTGAAACCTGATGGTGTCTAGTATTACAACTTACTACATAGTATAAAACAAAGTCATCCCATTGTCTGTCTGTCCCTATGTATGCTTAAAACTTGATGCTATTTTTTTATTAGCTAGAGTGATTCAATGGGAAGGTAATGTTATATGTATAATACATTGCACCCGCGCGAAACTGGAGCTGGTCGCTAGTTTAATATAAAATGAAAATTGTAAATAATTTCACTTAATGTGTAATTAACAAATTAATTTATACTAGTTTTTGGTGGTACAAGATATAAGAATAAAATTATTCCATTTGTTATATTTTTATCATATGCATAAATATTGCATATTAGATTGAATGTTAAGTAGTATTTACATACATATATATTATGATTTTTTGAATTGCTAATTTCTTTAAATATTACATGAGAAAATTGTGAAGTAACTGTATAATAATAGAGATTACAAAATCTGTTCAACTTAAGGTTACTGCATGTAAATGTCAAGGTTACCTTTCACTGGGCGCGGCAGGGAGGGCACGTCTGGATTCTGATATGTAGCCGCCATAAGCCGATGCAAGGCGTGCAGCGCAGGGAAGGTTGGGTGCAATGGTTGTTGTAGGAAGAAGTGACCCGCACTCACCAAACATGTCATTATGGTGTCATTGTTAACTGATTCAACAAGCTGCAACTGATAAATTAAGCATACAATGTTCAACAATTAACTCTATTTAAAGTTATTTAGAATTCGGAACTCAAGTAAAATAATACAATGTCACAATGTTTTATATACAACACCACATTATTAATGGTTCATAAAAATGCAATATTAAATTCCCAATTATTTTAATGATTTACCATTTGCCTAGAGGATCATATAATAACCATAATCAATTATTTTTACTAAGATCTTATGACAAACTTTAAATTAGTCAAACCAAGCATCACAACATGGATAAAACATAAGTAAAAGGAGAAATTTTTTGAAAACTTAAGATCATTTCATATTAACTGATTGAAAAACTTATGAACTTGTATTGATTGCTTAATGGATTGGTTACCTGTTGGTTTGTATCTTAAGTTTGCTGATACTAAATTTTGATGTATGTGATCAGGATTTTAATTTTTTATCGCTTTTTATTATTACCCCATATATGATTGTATACTACCAGTCAATATAGCATTAGTAAACTCTGTCAACACCATTGTGGTAAATATGTGACAACTTTAAAGCATTAAAATTATAATAGCTTGAATATGGACAAATTTAGTGAATTCTCTATATAATAAACTTTGTCATATATGAAAGCGCAAACTTTATGAAAAGAAACAAATTTTATATCAGTTTTCCATAATTATTGGATGCAAAGATTATTTTAAGTGGCATTAAGGTTATTTAAGTGGTATTCTGTTCCGAACTTTAGTCACAAAATCGTTGAAGCATTAGATGTTGTTACGGCACTTGTGAACCTATTTTTTTAACTATTGTATTGAAACGTAAAAAAAAAAGTGAAGTTTTTATACACAAAAGTACTGTTACTGTACTGTACTGTTAGCGCTAGCAACCTTTAGATATTTTTGATAAATAAATTGTAAGTTTTTAAATAAACTCATTTAAACAAAGAAGTGTGTCTAAAATATTAAAAGCATGTATAGAAAAATATTAAAATAAAATCTAACTACCTACTATTTCATACTTTTCTTGTTATAAAATAATTAAACATTTATTTCATACAATTTTATTTTACTACTTACTTGAAGAAATTCTGGTACTAAAGGTGCTAATTTCTGATATAATTCTGGACTTATTTCTTGAATTGAAAAGTTGGGGAATCTTTTTTCAGGAAATTTATCTTTTATCATATCTAAAGCTGCTTCAATTTCATTTTGACTTCCTAAAAAAAATTATGCATATATAAATATCTTTATGAAACTTTAATAAGCACCAAAAAATTACAAAATTAAATGTTACCTTCAACTGCACAAATTTTTTGCTTGACCGAATCAGGATGATTTCTAACATAAACACTTGCACCAGTTTTTGCTTTGATTTGATTAACAAATGATCCATGTTTGCCTATTAGAAGGCCAACCAGAGTCTGAGGAATTATAAATTGATGTATTCTAAGACCGGATTCAGGGGCAACCATATTAACTGGAGGTGGACTAGCTGCTTCTGAACATCCCTTACCACTATCACTTGAACCCTAAAAGTAACAAATGTAAATTGTATATAAATGAAATACATTCATTTCAATCTAAAAACAAACAAAATCAAAGTAGAGACCTCATTTACAAACCTCACTATGATTATCTGAAAAATGACATATTGAAGGGCTAGCTAATAATGGATCTATTGGACTATGATTTGCAGAATCCCTCTCTGAAATTCGTCTATTCTGTGAAGAGGAGTATGTGTTACTGCTCTCATGAATCTCACTAGGTTCATTATTAACGTTACTATCATGATCATTATCGTTTTTATCATTACTGCTGTCATGATCTTCAGTATTAGTAACAGCACTTAATTCTGTTAAATTATCATCAGATGAAATATTTTCAAAGTTTGTACCCTCCTGATGAGATATATCAATTGATTCACTTACAATAGATTCACTATTATTTTGTTTTGTCAAAATGACAACATCACCAATATCCATTTTTGGGTCTAGAGTCTTATCAGTTTTATAACACGTCATTTCAGTCAATAATGGTGAAAATTTTTGTGGTGTAGATTCTTTAACTGAATTGGGTGATCGTTTTTGTGTAGAAGAAATGTATGTGGTACAATTATTAATTTGTTTTTCGGCTTCTACTGAAAATTTCTTTTCTTTTTCAATTGACTTCTTCCTAATTATTTTCTCTATTTCCAAGTCAACTTCCTCATCTGTCAATTCCAAAGAAGATCTCTGTGATCCAATACCTTTTGGAATTATGTCAATAGGAGCAGACTTGATTATTGAACGTTCAGCTTTTCCTACAGGTGAGGCTCTATTTAGTTCAGCTTGTGCATTCAAAGCTTCTGCTAATTCCTCCTTTAAACTTTTTATTCTTTCTCTTCCTCCTGGGTCAGATTTGGCATACTCCCTCTTTTTCTTGAACCAAAATATGCCAATTAAGACGGCTATTGATGGTACTGACCACATAAGTAATTGACGACAAGGTGCCATTGTAAAGAGCCACTTTTACCAGAAACCTAAAAGAAATTATCATAATGTTATTTTCATTGTACCTCAATTCATACAAAAAGGGAGAAGGTTCAAGTTGGAAGTAATTTAAATGACAATCTTTTTTTGATTTATAAAGCTAATAAAGTCCCTAATCTATAAACTAATGTTCTACAATATAGACAAAAATCGGGAGAATCGAACGAAATACAAAGACAGCGCAAATTACAAAAGGTTAGATAGAAAAATTAACCCTACTTTAATATAGTTTGAAAACCACATGTTTCATTGTTTACGACTTCAATGCTCTAATCTGTTATCACAACAAAAGTCACATGTTTCATTATGCGCTAAAAGATTTAGGTTATTGTGATTTATCACAAGCAAAGTACCCAAAAAAATGAACGATACATTGTGTACAAAAATATATACACTATTACAAACCATTTTTAGCATTAAAGAAACAATATCGTTAAAGAACACAATATGCAAGCATCAATTTTTGAGAATGAACCTAATTAAATCCACAATCACTTTAATCCTGATTATAGATTGACAGTTAGAAAGACACGTATACAGCACTTTCTCGACGGCAATAAGAGTAATGTAACCATGTGCTTTTTGTCTTTTCACACGTATACGTAATACGTTGTCCGGTGAGGGTCACGAGCCGTATAAAAACCTTCACGGACAACACGTAAGCAGCACGCATGAAATAATAAATGAAAGGTTACGCAATTATAGGACGTCAATTTTGACTTAAACATATTGTTAATAATATGTTAATGTTTACTTATAAATATTATTTGCAAATATCGAAGTTTATAGTTGTAATAAAATTAGGTGATAGAAAGGTCGAACCCGTGATCCAAATCTGGAATTACTTGCCGGTATACACAATAACTTCAAACTTACGTTGGTATCCAAATAAAAATGATTGCACTATTATATTACGAATTGGAAACAAACAAAATGATTCACAATATGCTTTATATGACTAAAAAATTTTGACCAACTGAAAATCTAATATTCCACGTGCTCACAATGTTTTCTACCGAAGCACAACAAATTCAATATGGCGATTAGCAATTTCAAACAAGTTGGCAACATTTTGAAGTATATAATACCATAAAGCATAGATTTTAGCTTTGTTATTTATATTCAGAAAAAATAAAAACTTATAATTAATAACCTAACATAACTATCATTTTAATAATAAATATATTGATATTATCTCCTGATAATAAACAATTTTTAGTAATCCTTCGTCGTGGTGTTGTAGTAGTGCACCACGGCATGGAATCTTAGTACAAAAAAATTTACACCGTATTGAGACCATAAACAAACGGTAGTATTCTAGAATATGACATTTCTTTTTTTTTTTTTACCTATTGTACTGAGGCTACTCGAAAAATATTAAGACGATGATAAATAAAAAGATATTTATTATGACTTATTAATGTTCACTCGGAGAATGTTAATTGTGAAGAAACTTCAGGAGAAATAATATTAAAATTTAAAAAAAACTTTTTAAACTTAAACCAAAGTAAAAATTCGTCTCGGAAAGATTCCGAAAATATTCAATCGGCTAAACAGAATAGCTTATCGTACACTCTCGTGCATTCAATGCGGGATGAGTTGTGAAAAACTGTTTGAGTAAATTCAGCTGTCTGAAATGTAAAAACTGTTTGTCCCAAAATAATGTATCTTCTATGCACAAATGGATTTCTCTCAGAGAATATAAAGAACTTAAAAATAAACAAAAACTAACCTATCCCTCAGAATTTGCTGTTACGCTTTTTTCTTATATTGTCAAAGAGATAAACGAATATTTAGAATTGAACATAAATGCGAACGAAATTTCAAAAGAAGTACTAATAAAATAAAATTTAAATATTCATTTGATTTCTTATCATCTGAACATTACAAAGAGACTCTGCTTCGTTATTTTGTTTCCATCACAATCAAATTATCTGAGATTAACTGGTATAGTATCAAAAATAAATTTTTAAAATTAATTGATTTACTGCGCCTCAACGATCGTTTACCGCCTATGCAAAGTAAAGCACTTGAAAAATATAGAAAATAGTTAAAAAAGAAAAGATTGAATAAATAGTATAAATGCAGTTTTATTTTAAAATCCTAATGACAATCATCATTATTTTTATTTGGGACGCAACTTGTGTAGACACTTTGGCTGCTTCTCATTTAAGGGGTACTTCGGTCAGGGCCAGGGCGGCATCGGAGGCAGCTGAAGTAAGTAAGCGGCGCAAATATGAGTCTTTATGTTTAGATATGTATTTGTGCCATTTGCTGTTGAAACTTTAGGTCCGTGGGGTCTCCGCACATCAAAATTTTTTAAAAGTTTATGTCCTAGGCCTCTATATGCTACTATATATTAAAAAAAATCATAAAAAATTGACCAGTGCAACATTGAATTTTAACAAATATTACGGATTAAAGTAACGTGAAACTTTACTTTAATCTTATTTGTAATATTAATATACATAATTTTTAAAACGCCAATCAGCGTCTAGTGACGTCATCCCTGTTTTGACAGCTTATAAAGGTTAATAAAGTTAAGTGGAAAGGTAAACATTGTTTTTTTTTGCAAAATTTAACTGTATTTTTGAATAAAAATGGACATTGGGATTATTAAAGCAGACTCCAGGAATTTACCGAAAGTTAGTGTTGACATGGTTATAATTTTTTTGTTGAAAGTGCAGAGGTTTCAAGTATAGAAATGAAAGGGATTAAAATGTTACGGTATGTATAAATCACAGTGAGACTTTGTATTTCATTCAGCAGCTTCTACATTCAGCAGTTATTTCAGGGCAACAAGGAAATTTTGTGGCAACAGCGCTATCGGTTTGTGGCGATTCATTTGCTACTGTGTACCGCTCTTATCTTTTACACCCTTACTCTCATCGGTCTAGCATTACCCTATTATTGACAAATTTCTATAGCAACGAGTGACAATAAAAGATTATGTTTTTCTCAACAAGGCTTGTTCTTTGTACTGCATCTTAATTATTCCCTCCTGCCGGCTCCCAAACTGGTGACCCCGACGTGATGTGATAAATATGCGCAACATCGGAGCCCACGTCGCTACGCTCTGCAGTTTCGCTCGGAAACAACAATTTCCGCGATAATCCAGGTTTGTTGCATTCTGCGACGCCGCCTAGGTACGCTTCCTTCTTTTTGTTTTTCCCTCCGTGCAGAGAAGTCTGCTAGGGAGACTAGAAAATCCACCTGCGAGTGAGACTATGGTATAGCCTGCGAGGGAGATTGTACAGAACAGCCATGAAGCTATAATCGCAACAATTGTAAACGTATCTACGATAATCTACATCGCTATTGGACTCGTATTTTGTCCATTCTATGTAGCGCTGAGCCGGCATTTTTCGCATCGAGGCCGGCCATTTTTCTTTCTCTACCGGAGCTACGTCATCTTTGACGAGGAGGAAGTTGAAAAGCGCGCCACGCGCGGCAATCACCCGCAACATTGTGTCAGGTGACTAACAGCTCTCCACTGATACTTCGCGACGGATGCTGCGTTTACACTAGTTCAAGTGAAAGTTTAGTGCTATTTTACACTTAAGATAGTATCATTTTATGTTGTATTTAGACTTACTTTACTTTTCTACCAATTTTATTATTACGTTTGCTGCGCAATACTGCAATTGTTTCGTTTGTGTATTTACCGATTTGTTCCACTGCGTGTATGTGTAAAGCGTTTTTGCGATTTGACCGTTTCTGATTTTACCTTTAAACCATGGCGAGTCAAGGAGAATCTAACGTTTCAGAGGGCCACGTTGGCAACGAGGGTGATGCTACTGCACTAGTCGGTGGCAGTCCCATTTACGTAAACAGGGTCGCAATTAGGACCCCGCCTTTTAGCAAGGATCGGCCCGCATTGTGGTTTGCTAGCCTAGAGGCGCAGTTCCACATTAACCAAATTACCGTCGAAATGACGAAGTTTCATTTCGCCGTGGCGCATTTAGATACCGAGTGTACGAAGGAGGTCGAAGATATTATCACACATCCTCCCGAGTTGCAACCATACACAACTTTAAAAAGCGCAATCATATCTAGATTCTCCGATTCCTTCGAGGAGAAGGTGCGGCGCTTACTAGAAAAGGAACAGTTAGGTGACCGCAAGCCATCTTCGTTCATGCGACACTTGAAGAGTCTGGCTGGGCAATCGTTCCCCGCTGACTTGCTGCGATCAATTTGGGCCAATCGGCTTCCCCGGCAGGTTCAAATTGTGTTGGCCGCACAGAAGATCCAGGACTTGACGGAGTTGGCGGAGATGGCCGACCAGTTGGTGGAGTTGACCGAGAGGCCTACCACCGTAAGCCAGGTTTCGGCGCATCATATCTTTGAGCCCACTCTCGCGTCAATGCAGCGGCAGATCGAGGAATTGACGCGAACAGTCTCAGCGCTCAGAACAAACACCCATGAACGATCTGGGAGCTCACGCGTTAATCAAAAGTACGTTAAGTATCAAAACTTATAAAAGGACGTTTCTCAAATACAGGACTTACTCTCAATGCGGCAAATGGCAGCTCCATTAAAACTTACGGCACAGTTAATCTGAACCTCAATTTAGGACTGCGCCGTGAATTTCGCTGGGAGTTTATTTGTGCTGACGTGAATGTCCCAATTATCGGTGCGGATTTCCTAGCTTTCTTCCACCTCCTACCCGACTGCCGTAGCGGCACACTGCGCGATGAGCTTACAAACTTATCCGCATATTGTTGTAACCGCAATATAATGCAGCCAAGTATTAGGACCGATAAAAAAACCGTCTCGCGATTCCCTGTTCAGTCAACTCTTTTTAGACTTTCCGGAAGTGACGCGCCCACCTACAGCTGACCGTCAAATAAAACACAGCACTGTTCACTATATAACGACAACTAGTGGGCCGCCTGTCACGTCGCGTCCTCGTCGACTAGCACCCAACAAGCTAAAAATTGCTGAGAAGGAATTTAATGACATGGTGTCGGCGGGTACTGCTCGCCCATCTAAAAGCCCCTGGTCGTCACAACTGCATTTAGCACCCAAAAAGGATGGCATGTGGCGTCCTTGCGGTGACTACAGGCTCTTAAACGCTCGGACAGTTCCCGATCGGTACCCTGTGCGTCATATAGGAGACTTCAGTCATAATCTGGCTGGTTCTACTATAATTAGCACATTAGATCTAGTAAAGGCCTACCAGCAGATTCCGGTAGCTGGTCCAGATGTTTGCAAAACGGCCATAATAACGCCATTTGGTCTTTTCGAGTTTCCCTATATGTCATTTGGGTTACGCAACGCTGGCCAAACCTTTCAGCGTTTCATCGATGAGATCTTGCGCGGACTAGACTTCGCTTTTCCCTACATTGACGATATTTTGATATTCTCACGGGATGCTGAAGAGCACGCCAAACACCTGCGCATAATCCTGCAAAGACTGGTGGACTATGGCGTCGATGTCAATGTGGATAAGTGCGTATTGGGGACATGTGAGGTAATCTTCCTAGGTTATAAGATAACCAAGGATGGTATCTGCCCACCTGAAGAGAAGATCGCTGCTCTCCGCGAGTTATCGCTTCCCAAAACAGCTCAAGGTTTGAGACGCTTCCTGGGGATGGTAAATTATTACCGCCAATTTCTTCCCAAAGCCGCCAAGCTCCAAGCTCCACTTGTGGATTTTTTAACAGTCAGCAACCTAAAAGGTTCAAAAGCTATGCCCTGGACAGCAGACTTGGAGCGTGCTTTCTACGAGTGTCGCGACAGTCTCTCAGAGGCCACCATGCTTGTACATCCGCAACGAAATGCTCGTTTAGGGTTGTACACGGACGCCTCCAGCACTCATGTCGGCGCTGCCTTACAGCAAAGGTCTGATCAAGGCTGGCAGCCGTTGGCATTCTTTAGCAAAAAGCTAACACAGAGCCAAAGTACATGGCCCGCGTATTACCGCGAACTTCGACGAATGGAAAAAAGCTAAAATTATACCATTGTTTAAAAAAGGCGCACGTAACGATGCTAAAAACTATCGCCCGATAGCTATCTTGTCTTGCTTTTCTAAATTGTTCGAGTCCCTTGTTTGTCCTTTTTTAACAAACCACGTCGATGCATTACTATCCCCTCATCAACATGGCTTTCGCCCTAAATGTTCCACTGTAACCAACCTAACGTGTTTTGTGTCTGATTTATGCACCGAAATGGATCGAGGCTACAAAATTGATGCAATTTACACAGATTTTGCAAACGCCTTCGACAAAGTAAGTCATTCCACACTCATTAAAAAGCT